ACATCATCACATAGCCAAGCGACTCCATGTCGTCGCGACGGGACTGCTCGATGCCCAAATGGGCATTGATCGAGGCATAGCGGGCTGTGCCCGTTAGGTTCTTCTCCTCCCGATACGATATATGCAGGCGGCTGTTGGCGTCGCGATATTTCTTGGCCAGGCCAAAGTCAATGAGGAACAGCTTGTTGCAATGCCGTCCGATGCCCATCAGAAAGTTGTCCGGCTTGATGTCGCGATGGATGAAACACTTGAGATGTATATACTCTAGGCGCCCGATCATCTGGTCGACCAGCATCAGTACGGTCTTAATGGTAAAGTGGCGCGTGCAAAAGTTAAATAGATCCTCCAGCGATGGTCCGAGCAGATCCATTACCAAAGTGTAAAAGTTCTTCTCCTTGCCATGATGACGAATTCGCGGAAATCCAACGCCCCCACTCAGCACACGATAGAGTTTCGCCTCGTACAGCAGCTGGGGATGACGGGCATGAGCGCTCTCCATCTTGATGGCCACCTCCTCGCCGCTCTGGATGCTCATGCCCAGATAGATATCGCCAAAGGAGCCGCTGCCTGTAATATATATAATAAGCCATTTAATCCATCAATTTATGTGTAACTGGCTAAATTGAGTCGAATATCTGATGTTTACATTATATCTTGATGGGTTCTTTATAACTCTGCTATAACAAGTCCATATTAGCTACAGTTCGAGAAGTTTACACAATAAAACAGTTCTGGAAATTAATGCGATATGAGAAACAGCTAATGTGATACGATTACATGATTAGCAAAACTAGCCAGATGTTAAGTTATTTTTAAACATAAAGCTAATATATCATATATCGTATATATCATAAGAAACCACATACATATATGATAAAGTTCTTAGAGCACCGAAGCTTATATATGGACTAGAAATAGTGCTTAAGAAATTATACAAGATATATAATAAGGAACTACATATATGATCAAGTTCTATGAACCCCGAAGCTTATATATGGACTAGAAATAGTGCTTAGGAAATTATAGAAGATATATAATAAGGAACAACATATATGATCAAGTTCTATGAACCCCGAATCTTATATATGGACTAGAAATAGTGCTTAAGCAGTTATAGAAGATATACAGCTGCGAAAAATAAAATAGCACCACTTGCATATTCAGAGTTTGAGGA